CTATCTATCTAACAGCGTTCTCTCCCCTCCCCTCCCACCCCTGGTAACCAACAAAGAAAATTTCCTCCAATAGATTAACCTTTCCTTAAGTTTTACAATAACGGACTTATACAATATTTGTCCTTTTGTGACTGACTTATTTCACTCAGCTCCTTCCCTTTTGAGACAGCCAGTTGCTACTCTTTACTGAGAACCTTCCATGTTGTCTTCCCAGCAACCCCAGAAGGTTGAGACTCTTCTTATTCCCATTTGATAGATGATGAAACTGAGGCCCAAAGAATTTGACTGTCTCATCTAAGGGCACACAATTAGTGAGTGGCATAGCTGGGATTGGAACCCAGTGTCTCTGGTGCTACCACCTGCTCTTTTTTTTTTTTTCTTCAAGTTTTATTGTGACTTGGGTGAAAGTTTATAGAGCAAATTCACTTTCCATACAGCAATTCACATACAGTTTTTCTCATGACATTGACTACAATTTCCCACAATGCAACTGCTCCCCTCCCACTTCCTCCCCACAGTTACCTCTTCCCTGTGTCCATCCCTCCATGCATTCCTGCCCCCTGAGCTGTCCTCCTGTGCATACCCAGCCCCTCTATTCTCCCATGATTGATCTCTCCAAGCAGTGTATCTACCTCATGTAAATGTTCACCTTGTATGCCTGTCTTTTGTTTGACCGCCTGCTCTTTTAAGCCCTCTATTCCGCACTGCCTCTAAGCAGATACTTGGCTCCTGAAAGTTTCAGTGACGAACTGCCTGCCTTCAGCAGTCTGAAATCGCTCTATAAAATGGTCTGTTCTTACCTAGTCTTCTTGTTCTCCACCACCAGGAGTCAGATCTGCCTTTTTATTGGGCTAATCCAGGGTCCACACCCTCCTGAGCTCTGCTGACAAGGGGTTGGGCTGGGATCCAGCCCCTCACATCGTCCCTCAGCAGCAGCTATCAGAGGGTCTGCCAGGTCTGAGGAGATGGAGGGGGATCTGTCTGTATCCCTAAAGGCTGTGGGTTGAGGGAGGTGGGGCAGCAAAGGTTTTTTCTGAAGCTGCAGCGGGGCCAGGCCTCTCCCTGGCATTCAGAAGGGGACGAGGCCACCTCTTCCTCGTAAAAGGAGCACGCCCAGTCTGAGAATTGTAGCCACTAAACTGAGAGGCTCTGCGCTGTCACAGGGGCCTGTTGGGGCTGTGAGATGGAGTCCCTGCTCAATATTCAGAACTGGGCCTGGAAGCAAAGGGAGAGAAATTGGGCAGCGAAGTGGCCTGTCTCCTCTCTCCGCCTTCTTTCTCTTCCTCCCTAACCTTCCGTTCTTCATTTGTTCATGTGTCATTTGTTCATTAGGCAGATTCCTAAATACTGGCCATATGTCTGCCCTGGGCCAGGCCCTGGGAATCACAGAACAAAACCAGCCCTGTTGATCTCTTTCCCTCGCTCCCTGTCTCTACCCTTGCTCCTCCTCTTTTCGCTCCTTCATCAGACAGAATAACGGGCACCTGCTCTCTGCCAGGCTCTGTCCCTTCTCCTCTCCTCCCATCCCACTTCCCTGCCAGTCTCACTCCTTCCCATCTTTGTCTTGGTCATTCCTCGCCCGAGGAGCCTTGCCCTCCTTCTGCTTCCCAAGCTCATTGGGGTTGTGTTCTGGGATGTTCCGTCTCTTCTTCAGGGCTCTTTTTGCCCTGCTCAGAGCTCTCTGGACGCCTTTAAAGTTATATTTGGGTCAGGGTAGGAGCTCTGGAGGCATAGTGCCTAAGGCACTTGACTGCTAACCAGAAGGCTGGTGGTTCAAACCCACCAGCCACTCCTCGGAAGGAAGGTTGGGCGATCTACTTCTGTAGTGATATCGTTTTGAAACCCAAGGAGGGGTCACTATGAGTCGGGTTCGACTCGATCACACATAACAACAACAATAACAACAGGGTAAGGGACAGAAATCTGATTTTTGTGTTCTTCTTGCTGATGGGGGAGAAAAAGGAAAGTAGGAATTTGTCAGGAATGTCATTCAGGATGAAGAAAAGGGAAATGGCTCATCCAAGAAGCCTTCTTGGGAAAGGCTGAGGCCCACTCCCGTCTACCCCAGGACACTGACACGGGCCCAGGGCTTCCTCTAGTGCCCTGGGTTGCAGAGTGTCAGCCATTTCTCCCAGTAGGCTGTGTGCCAAGCCCTCCCATAGGGAGCCTGCTGGGCCCAGGAGGGGACCGCTCCCAAACAGCATGTGTCTGGGGCTGCAGACCTTCAAGCTTTGCCTTCAAGCTCCTGGCCCCCAGTGTCACTCACTCCCTGGAAAGGGGCTTCTCTAAACCCTTTCTCCTTCCCACAGGGCCCTCCAGGATCTCGAGGCCTACCAGGCATGAGGGGATCCAAGGGGCGCCAGGTAAGTCAGGCTCAGACCCCAGGGGCTAGCACTGGCAGGGGCACAGTTGGGGATGGAGCCAGCTGCCGGAGACTGTCTCCTGGTCCTGGCAGGGTTTCAGGACTCATCCATCTCCCCAGCCCATTTCTGAGCACCAGGCCTTGCTGTCCAGTGGGCAGTGGGCTCTGTGGGACTTGTGCTTTCTTTATTCATTTGTTCATTCATTGTTCCGACCATCATTCGTTTATACCTACAGTGTGCCACATGCTGTTTTAGGCACTGAAGATACTGTAGAGAGTAGGACCCGCATGACCCCTGCCTACCTTCATGACCCAATCAAGTAGGTCAGTCAGCTTAGCAGATGAGGTAGTGCAGTGTGATCAGCACTTTGATGGAGGAAGCATTGTCAGCGTCAGAGCCCACAGGAAGCACCTCACCTGGGCAGGGTATCAGGGAAGTTTCTGGAAGATGGTGATGCTTGAGCTGACTCCAGATTCCAGGCAGAGGGACTGGCAGGGGAGAAGCCCTACAGTGAGGGACTATGTGGGTGTTGAGGGAGCCCCAGTTGTTCAGCAGAAGGACAAGGGAGAGGTATGAGGCTGAGACAGAGATGCCATGCCAGGTGGGGCCTCGGGAGCTACAGCCAGGCCTGTGACTGTGCCCCAAGGGTAGAGGAGAGCCACTGGGGGTTTGAAGCAACTGCTGATTCTGAGCGAGTCCCTGGGTAGTGCAAACGGTTAGGCATGTGGCTGCTAAATGCAAGGCTGGTGGTCATATCCACCCAGAGGCTCCACGGATGAAAGGTCTGGCTGTGTACACCCGAAAAACCAGCCTCTGAAAAGCCTCTGTGGAGCCCTCTAACCCACGCGGGGCCACCATGGGTCAGAGCCAGCTCCACAGCAACTGCTTTTGGTTTTTTGTTTTTTGTGTTTGTGTTTTTTTTTTCGGTCTGACCATTGTGGCCAGGGATAATTGCTAGCCTATACTAAGCACCAAAGGAGCCCTGGTGGCACAATGATTATGTGCTCAGCTGCCAACGCAATGGTTAGCGGCTTGAAGCCACCAACCACTCCTGTGAGAGAAAAGACTTGGTGACCTGCTCCTATAAAGACTATAGCCTAGAACACCCTGAGGGGCAGTTGTACTGTGTCATACAGGGCTGCTGTGGGTTGGAAGCCACTCAACGGCACAAGATAGCTATGTATCAACCACTGTTCATCACATGCATGAACTTAACCCTCGACACTACTCTGTAAGGTATGTGCTATTCTTATCCCCATTTTACAGATGAGGTAACTGAGGCACAGAGAGGTGATGTCATCTGCCTCAGGTTATACAGTTAGAAAATGGCAGAGCTGGGATTTGAACTCAGGGTATTGGGCTTTTTTTGCATACTGAATCCACCCTTATTTTCAGTTACGCCAGAAGGGCTGATGCATTGGTTTTCTGCCCCCAACCAGTGTTCAGATGCACCCTTGTTCTAAGGAGGGAAGGAGACGTACAGGTAGAACAGACTGGGCCCAGCATCCAAGCTCCAGGCAGGGGATCTGTGATGATGATTCTCCTCTTGGCTGCATTTCAAGTGGTTTTAAAATTTCCCCTGAACCAGATGGCCTGAGCAGGCTGGAGTGCGGAGAGATTAAGAGGCATTCCTCTGGCCCAGCGGTGCCCCTCCCTGAGCCATGTCCTGGGGAGTGAGCCGAGGCCCACAAGGCAGCCAGGTTCCACTCTGACCTGCTGTATCTCTCTGCCTGTGCCAGGAAACCCGAGTAGCTAGAGGGTGAGCTGCTACGGCCCTGGGCCCTGGGCCCACCCCAGACTGGAGGCTCAGGCCTCCCTCCAGCCCACCACCCCCACCTGTTTCTACCGCCCCTTCCTAGGAGGGAAGTGCCTCTCCCTCCTTCCAACCACATCAAAGTCTCCGGGGCTGAAGGGGGCAGGGCGGCATCAGGAAATCCAGCCTCCTCCCCATATTGGAGGGAATGCAGACCCGATGGGGTTGGCCCCCCTTGGACTCCTTGCCCAGCAGGGGCCACTTCACAGATGGGATAACTGAAGAAGGGGGATGAGAAACACCCACTGTGGCCTGAATGAGCTCAATTCTGGACAAGGCCCTGTGCAGCTCCTGGTTTGCCCTGTAAGCCTTGCTGGTCTCTAGGCCTCAGGTCCCCACGTGTGCTGGGGGTGGGGGGATAGGCCCAGTGTCTGCAGCAGGGCTCTGTCTGCTGCTTTGCACATGTGTGAGATGGGTCCCACCCCCTCCTCCTGGGAAAAATGAGCAAGAAGGGCTGGAGGCCTGGAGAAGGTTGGACGGGGGTCTCTGACTTAACCCCTTTGTCGGGAAAGGGTAGAGATAGACTGCCACTAGGGTTTGGGCCCAGTGGTCCCAGTGGAAAGTGTAGACTCTGGGACCAGACAGTCCTGGGGACGAGTCTCAGCCTCCCTAGTTACCAGCTGTGGGTCTTCAGGCCAGTGTCTTAGCCTCTCTGATGCTTTTTCCAGTCTGTTTGATGAGTCACATTAATTACTGCTGCTACTGGGATGTAAGATTCTGAGACTGGACTCTGCTCCTGGGAGTGGGGATTAGAACTCAGCAGACCTGGCCTTAACCCCAAGCCCTCCCATTTTATCTTGGGCAGCTAAGTTTCCCCCCTAAGCCTCTGGCTCTTCCTTTATGAAATGGGTCAGTAACAGAACCAACCTGTTGTCAGATGCTCATGGAGATACAGTCACTGAATGAGTGCCCCCCACATGGTACGCACCTGCTAGGGTGTCGGCACCACAGGTGTCCAGCCATGTGCATTCCCTCTGCCTCATCGGCCCTTCTTCCACGGGAGCTGTGGTCACTGGATTTTCTGTCCTGGGCAAGGGCTCAGGTTTAGTCAATTCCTGCTGAGCATGACTCTGGCCTGGCTGGCAGGCAGCCCTGGCCTTGATTGCAAACATCTTCCTTTGGGAGAGGACATAGGAAAGTGGACATGGGCTCTGATCAAACCCCAGGCCTGCCTCCAGCGGGGCAGGCCACAGAGTAGCCCAAAGCAAAGGGAGGGATAGAGCATGTGGCCACGCTCGCCCCTCTCCCTGCACTTGGAGCTGGGAAGAGATGGTGACTGATGGTCCCACGGCCTCCACTCCCTCCAGACAGCTAAGGTTGGTCCTGTTTCTTCCAAGCTAGGCCCAACCTCTCCCTAAGTTCAAGGGTGCTCCCAAGGGACAGTGGGTTTTTCCAGATAATAGGGACTTTAGAGATGGCCTTCTCCAACACCCTGCCCCACTCTGCAGCCTTCTGGCACCTTCCTCTCTGCCCTGAACTACACACTCCCTGTGTGTGCAGCTCCCTGTGTGGGGAGCTCAATCCCATTTGATAAATAGTGACAGGTCATGGTGAAAAGAATGTGCATCAACGGACTTGGGTTCAAATTTGGCTCCTTGGTTTAGTAGCTGTGCGACCATGGGCAAGTTCACCTGTGTCCTGAGCCTGTTTCCTTATTTGTAAAATGAGGATAGTAACTTTCACTATTTTTGCTGCTGCTGCTATTTTTAGGGGAGCTCTGGCGGCGTAGTGCCTAAGGCATTTGATTGCTAACCAGAAGGCTGGTGGTTCAAATCCACCAGCCACTCCTCAGAAGGCAGATTGGGTGATCTACTTCCATAGAGATACCGCCTCAGAAACCTAACAGATCACATAACCTTCTCTAGAATGACTTTGATTCCTAGGACAAGCAGGGTGCTGTGAGATTCAGGCCAAGCCCTCCACTCTGCTGGCCTCCCTTCCCTGCCCAGAGCCACCCCTTTCCACAGGGGTCTGTGCCTTGGCTAGAGAAAGAGCCCAGGGGCCAGACACCCTCCCACAGGCAGACTGGGCTGCCCCACCCATCAGCTCCATCTTGTCCTGCCTCCTGTGTCCTGCCTCCTCCCACCTGGGGTCTTCTCAGGCCCCTGTGGTCTGTGGGAGTATTGCAGACAGATGGAGCCCCAGTCTGGTTCTATCTCCATAAGACCTGGTCACCGTTGACCACCAGGTCACCACTCAACACCCTGAATCCAGGGTGTTAAATCTGACAGTGCTCATGTGAGCCTGAGACCAAGGCCCAGAGAGGGGAAGGGCCTTTCCCGAGTGACACAGCAAGTTGGCGGCACAATCAGGGCTAGCACCTGAACCCTCTAATGCCCAGTAGATTTGCTTGTTCAGGAGTTACCAAAACTTGTCCTGAATCTGTGAAAACTCTCAGATGATTGATTCCACATGATATAATATAATGTAAACTACTCATTCTGCAAAAGGAACTGAGGTCAAATTTGCTAAGCCGCTTCCTGCGTGCCTGCCCCTCCTCTGGGCAGAGCAGCCTCTGGCAGAGCCAGGCAGGGACAGCAACCAGCTGTGCCTGAGCACTTACTGCTTGCCAGACGCTGAGCTGCCGTGCCTCGAGGGAGCACTTTCTCGTCCCCTGTTCAGAGGCAAGGTGACTGAGGCTGAGAGGAGCCGTCCTTGTTCCTGAGGTACAACTTCTCCTCAGTCTAGTACAGACCCTGCAGTGGGCCCCAGTCCTGGGCCAGGAGCTGTTAGAAACAAGGCTTCAAGCTGAAGCAGCTGTCCTAGGCCTGGATCCAACCTGACTTGATCAGTGGAGTGCGATTTACGACTCGGGTGTGGGATTGAAGCGCAGTTGATTAATTGAAACGTACCTTGTGTGATTTAACTGGAAAATGTCCTTGTTCAATTTTTAAGTGACTTTCTCCTTGGTCAGTTTTCTCTTTGTCCTCCTCCTCCCACCTGGGGTCTTCCCTGACCCCTGTGGTCTGTGGAAGTAGTGCAGGCAGGTCCCCTGGGCTCTTAGCTGGGGTTGGCCAGCCTCCCTCACAGGACCCTGTGTCTCTCAACTCAGGCCTCTTCCCATCCCTACAGAACAACCACCTCCAAGGGACCTTTTCAAGGAGACTGTAAGCCATCTGTGTCCCGGTGGGAATCCCCATGGAAGGGACACATGGGGCAGGGTGTGAGGCCCACAAATACACCCATTGCTATCCAGTCAATTCTGACTCTAGTGACCCTATAAGACAGTAGAACTACCCCATAGTGTTTCCAAGGCCGTAAATCTTCACAGAAGCAGATTGCCTCATCTTCCTCCCGTGGAGTGGCTGGTGATTTCAAACTGCTGACCTTTCAGTTAGCAGCCGAGAGCTTAACCACTGTGCTGATTGGGCTCCTCCTAGAGGGGTACTGCTTATGTGCTAAGTGACCTTGGACAAGTCACTTCCCCTGGCTAGGTCTCAGTGTTCCCACCCATGCAGTGGAGGAGGGTTGGGCCCCACCTGTTCTGGGGGCCTCCCAGCTCTCTGGGTCCAAGTCTCCTGTCCTGGGGGCCCTGGGTCCAGAGCTCCATGAAACAGCCGCCTGACTCCTGCTGCTGCGCCCATCCCCTGCCCTGCCCTGGCCCTTCCTCACCTCAGCTCTTCCTCTGTGAGCTGAGCCAGCTGAGTTTACACATCTGGCTGGAGAGGGCTGGTTCCACACATCTGGCTACATCCAGACCTTCCCTGGGTCCTTCTCTCCGAGTTTCCCCCATGGGCCGTGGCCCCAACATGCTCCTTCCAGTGTCCTGCTGCAAACATGCTCCCACACACACCTCGTGTGCTCTGGGAAGATACCGCACAGCAGTCTGGACAGCCAGCTGTGGGGACTGGGCAAACGTCTCTTGGCTCTGGCTCTCAGTTTTGGCCTTTGTGCAATGGGCTGGATGGCTGACCCCCAGAGTCTAGAGAGTTAATGGCCCGCTGTCCCATTCCTGAATATGGGGCCTCTAGCCTGTCCATCCATGCCTGCCCTTTGCAGAACCTTCTCAGCAGGAACTTTGCATGGGGGTGACCTCCCTCAGGGAAGGAGGGGGAGGAGGAGGGGGAGGAGGGAGCCAGGCCTCAGGGTCATGTAGAGAAGCCCCCCCTTCTGGGCAGCCCCACCCTCCTGGTTCCCAGCCCAAGGGAGACCCCTGCTGTCCACTGTGCTAGTCCCTTTTTCCTCTTCCAGGGCCCCCGAGGACCAGACGGAGCAGCTGGGGAGCCGGGGTCCAGGGGCCTGAAGGTACCGACCCCCATGGTTTGCTGCTGCTCCTCCCACCCCAGCTTCACACCTTCCTTGGCACCAAGCCCCTCGTAGACTGTAGGGAGCCCCTCATAGTCTGTAGGGCTTGCAGGGCCAGTGCCTGAGAGCCTGTCTCATGCACGGTTCCTGCCCCTGCAAGCCCAGAACTTAGCAGCAGGGTGGGAGAGAGCACAGTGACAGAGAGCTGTGAGACAGTGCTCCTGTGTTTGTGTGTGTGTGTGAGAGAGAGAGAGTGCGTGGCTGTGAGCATGGGAGGAACCACAGGCTCACTGGCCCCTTCCCCAGGCCCCCAGCCTCTGGAAGCACCAGAAGGAGTCTGCTTCTCCACCCAGACACCTGGGCCTTGGTTTTCCCACCGGCACAGTGGGCAGAGGGTTGGACACCATTATCTCACAGGTTCCTTTCATCTCCCACGGTGAAGTGTGTGTTTGTGTATAGGGGGGTCCTTCCCTATGAAGGGTCCTCCCAAGCACCCTCCCCACCTTCACGTGCTTTGCTCTCTGCAGGGTCCTCCAGGACCACAAGGCAGACTGGGCCACCCTGGGCAGCAGGTATGTCCCCACGTCCCCTCTCTGCCAAGAGGCTAGGCCACTGCCAATCAGGTCCCTCCCTGGGCCTCCCATAGCCTTCCCTGGCATTCAGCCCCTAAGGGTTCCATATGTGCTTCCAGGGTGTGGCTGGTGAGCGAGGGGACGCTGGCCCACGAGGCTTTCCTGTAAGTAGTACCAGTGCTTGGAACTTTCTACATGGCGCTTTGGTGGGGGCGGACAGAGGGGACACTGGCCGCTTTAACCAAGCTCCCATCTTTGTGGAAACCCTAAATGTTCTTGTTGCCCACTCCTGGCACTGACTGCCTCCAGCATGTCTCCTCTCCTCTCTGAGTCTCAGTCTCCCCATCTGTCACACAAGTGGAAGGAGGGGTAGAACTCTAATACACTGCAACAGGCTTGGCTGAGGCCAAGGGGACCAGCAGGGTGGGGAAGTCCATGGAAGGACTGAGGTCCCCTTTGTCTGGTTTCTGCAGGGCATCCCGGGTCCCTCAGGTCCCCCAGGTGCCAAGGGCCTCCCAGGAGAACCGGTAAGTGCCTCTCCCCTCCCTCTTTTGTGTCTGAATCCCTGGAAGGCTGGTCTCAGATGGACCACCCATCCAGGGTTGTGGACCATGTGGTTAGACAAGGAAAGGGTTTGGAGGGAGACAGTGCTAGTCCACTGCCTAATGGGACAAGACTTGTGGAGGTGAAGAGACCACTAGACAGGGGCTCAGAAGATCTGTGTTCTAGTCTAAGCTCTGCCTGCCCTCCTGCCTCAGTTTTCTCACCATTAAATGGGGATAATTATCTACCTTGCATGAAAATTAAATGAAAAAAAAATGTATGTAGTGCTTAACATTGCCCTTACACCAAAGGAGGGGAGGAAGAGAGGATAAGAATGAATGAACGACTGGCAACTGCTAAGTTGAGTTGGGCTGGAGTAGGGAGAACAGGACTGCAGGGAATGAAAAAGGTACCAGGGACCAGTAGCTCGAAGCCACGGAAAGTCTGCTCTTCATCTTGGGGCAACAGGTAGCCATTGAAGGGCTGGAAGCAGTAGGTTACCTGCCCAACTTGCCCTCCAGCAGATCTCCCTGTGAAGGATGGGTTTGGGCCAACTCAGGTGTCAGGGAGACCTGTGAGAAGCTGTGAAGGGTGGTGGGTCTGAGTTGGTGGTGCTGAGTAGAGGAGATGACCCAGCCAGCGATTCAGGAGGAGGGCCCACCACTCAGGATGGAAGACAATCACACCCCTGGACCACTGCTCCAGTCCTACTTCAGGCCCAGAGCAGTCGCCATTTTGCTCGGTGCGTTTGACATGGGGTGTCCTGGAGGAGGGGGTCGATTTCCAGAGGTGCATAGGCAGAGAAAACTGAGCAAGACTCCAGAGCTGCAGGGTTTCTGAGCAGGAGCGGGCCCCGCTGGGATTTAGGAAGGTGGATGGGAGCATGTGCAGAGAGGATTGGAGGGGAGAGATGGAGATGGCAGGGAGGGGCACTGAACACTCCGACCTGCCGTGTGCGGGTTGGGGCAGGCATATGGGCATCCTAGGCTTTGTAAACTTCCCTCACCAACCCCAAAGAGGGCCTAGGCCGCTTCTTCCAACTGTCTGTGTGTCTGTCTGTCTGTCTTCTAGGGCCCCCAGGGTCCCCAGGGACCAATTGGCCCACCAGGAGAGATGGGGCCCAAGGTGAGTGCTGAGGGCCCCTTGTTTGGTCCACGGTACTGCTGGGGATGTATTGGCCCCTAAGGGTCTGTCTGCCATTCCCTGGGGGCCGTCTTGTCCCATGTACTGCAGACTGAAGGGTAAATCTATTCTGATGGCATAGGGTGAGAAAGGAGGACTGGGCTCCCAGTCCTTGGGGGCACTGGGTGGGATGCAGGGTTTGGCAGTGCCTCTCTCGGCACCATGAAAACAACAGTGCCCCACCACCTCTGGGACTTCACCCCAGCACAGAGGTGTGACTAAAGAACCAGCCCTCTTAGAGTCAACCAGCAAGGGACTGGGGAGGGGTCCAGATACCCCTACCCTGCCTTATCCCGCTGAGGAGAAAACTGAGTGCTGGGGTGTATGCCAGGGCTGCGGCCATGCCAGTGGTAAGAACTCATGACCTTCCTGCCCTCCCCCTCCTGATGTGGCTGCAGAGAGCAGGGCTGGAGTTGTCCAGCCCCAACACACCATCTATCGGCTACCTGTGTTGTTAGGTGAATCATGAAATTTTCTTCCCGTGCTTGCCGGAAGCGCTCCTCATATGGTAAACCACACTCGTGGGGAGATGGGGCTTCACAGCCACTGGGCAGCCAGGGACTCAGGCACCCTGGGCCCAATCACCCGCTCTTCCTAGGGCCAGCTCTAAGCTCAGACACAGCTGAGGTCTTTCAGCTCTGTGCTGTGTGACTGCAGGCATATCTGTTGCCCTCTCTGGGCCTCATACCCCCCCCCACCCCCCTTATTACCAGGGGCCAGCCCTTGCTCTAGGAGTGACCAATGGCATTTTCTTGCAGGGGCCGCCAGGGGCAGTGGGAGAACCGGGCCTTCCTGGGGAAGCTGGTATGAAGGTGAGCTGGGATGAAAGAAGAGAAAAACGACTTGTTGAAATCAGCTCCCAGCTGGCAGCAATGTCCTCCCAACGGAAGAGAACGGGTCTTTCTTGTGCCTGGGATAATGGGTCCTCTGTGCTCCTGGGGGTGGGTAGGGGAGGCAAACTGGGCTGTGGGCACAGCATAGGGCCCAGCCGGCCCAGAGCCCTGCCCCTGCCTGGCAGTGTTTTCTCTGGCACCTGCCCCTGCCTCCACGTTGGGCGGCCCTGCCTCTCATTCTCTATAGATACCATCTGCATTTCAGTACCGGTGCCCTCATTACCTGCTGGGAAACAGTGACCCATTGATATCTGAGCTCTGGGGAGAACCCCCTCCCCGTTTTGCTGCTGGAAAAGGGCCCTGCCCCCTTCCTGGCCCCAGAGCTGATGAGTGATGGTGGCCAGCATGAGCATGCCATTGAGGCAGGGGCTAAGGGACTTGAAGCAGGTCACCCCTCTTCTGTGCCTGAGTCTCCATGCCATTCAAAAAGGGGGTTAGTCCCAGAATCCTTTGCTCAAGCAACAGTGGAGAAAACCACCTGTATATAAAACAGATAGAAGTGGGATTGTTCCTGTTGGGGTGGGCCGAAGGGATTAGGGCCCCATCTCCTTCTCGTGCTGGACTCCAGCAGGGAACATCTTGGAAATCACTGGATGACAAAAAACCTTTATTCTGGCCAATTTAGGGCTGCCTCCCCATTTGGGTATGGAGGAGCTCTGGTGGCATAGTGCTTAAGGCATCTGACTGCCAACAAGAAGGCTGGTGGTTCAAACCCACCAGCCACTCCTCAGAAGGAAAGTTGGGCAATCTACTTCCATAGTGATACTGCCTCGGCAACCCAAGGAGGGGTTGCTATGAGTCGAGTCTGACTCAACAGCACATAACAACAACACAACCCCATTTGGGTTTCTCTTGAAAGTACTCAGAAAAAATGAAGATGTTTAGTCACGTTTGCTGTCTGCACTAGAAGGGTCTCTCTAGCTTCTGGTTACTTAATCCCCTTTGTGCCTCAGTGTCTTCATCTATGAAACAAGACTAATATTACTACCTTCCTCACAGGGTTGTTGTGAAAACTAAATGTGTGAATATAGAAAAAGTACTGAGAACAGTGCTATATAAGTGTCCGGGACCCAAGAACGGTGCTATACAAATATTTAGCAATGACTGATGATGATGAGGGTGGCCTTGATGATCCTTCTGCCCTGGCATGGCAGGAGCGAATGGTCGGGACTTCTTGGAACAGGTGTTCTGGTTGGTCTTTGGTCCTTGGGAAGAAGGCCCTTTTCCAGCCCCACCCACTTCAAATCAGAGCTATTGAAACTGGGATGAGATGAGGAGGGCTGGGAGTGACTTTACCAACCCTGATGAACTTATGTTTGGTTTCTTCTAGGGTGACCTTGGACCCCTGGGCATCCCTGGTGAGCGGGGCCTCATTGGGCAGCGGGTAGGTTGAAGCAAATTCATTATCCCTGCAAAGCCACTGGCTGGGGAGAGGGGGACAGAGAGGGACTTAACTTAACCTCCCTGAGCCTTCTATACATTAATGGCACAAATAGACTGTAAGTCTCCACAGCCTTGTTCATTGTGGACCAGCATTTCCACAACACAGAGATGCTCCTCAGAAAAAGTTTCTGTGGTCAAACCATTTATGACTCAATGCAAACTCAGTGCTCTCTCTTTTACACATAAACTGGAGCATTTTCAAGGCTCTGAGAAGGTCTGCAATCAAGAAATTGGTTTCATTTGGATTAATCCAGGTTCTCCACACTTGCTTAACCTCCATGCACTTTTATTGAAGAGCATCCATTAACATCCACAAAAACTGTTCCATGGAAGGTATCTTCCCTGTAACAAAAGAAACCCACAAAGCTTGGTTTTCTCTAAGAAGCGTTGCAAGGTCTCTGTGTCCAACTTTCTGTGTCTCTGTGCCTAGTTTATAAGGTCCCTGTATGAATGTGGATCCCAGGGCACTGTGAAGGGTATAGGGCTGGCATCCCCTACCACCTCATAAATGGGAAAGATGGGGCCCAAAAGGCAAAGGGAGTTAATATGGGTCATAGATCTTGGGGGAGCCAAGCCCCTAACCCAAGTCTCCTTTATTGTTATTTTCCTTTATTCTTATGCCCAAACTTAACAACGTCCCCATCAACTGGAGTTAAGACCTAAGATGAAATGAGATAGCCACAGGGCAAGTGAAGATGAGCTTGGAGATTGGAGAGCTGAAATGGCAGGTTGTGTGTGTCAGTGAAGATTGATTAGTAGAGTCTTCCTGGAGTGCCACATTAAGCAGGTTCCTGAGGTTCCATCTAGGTTCAGTAGGAAAGAGAATGACAAGCATTCGTTCAACGCCTGCTATGTGCTGAGTACTTCTCTCAGGGCACTGAGAACACAGTAGGGAGTGACAGAGAAGGCCTTGTCCTCATGGAGCTTACAGTCTAGCAGGTTGATTAGTGATGTCTGTCATGGGCACAGAAGGGCAGAATCTACACCTCTATCATATCTTTGCCATCCATGCAGCTGATGGCCTCTGAGGCCCCTTCCAGCTCCAACTCAGAGCAGCTCAGAACTCTGTAAGCAAAGAGACCCTAACTTGGTGTGACGGTCATTTTGAGAACTGAGGAATCCAGGAGCAAACCTCAGCTTGGCTGAGGGTCATACAGAGACTCCAAGTTCTTAGTATCATTCCTGAACAGGCTAGCTGGCCTGCAGGCATCTTTGGTCATCTGAGAAATGGAATTTGACTGAGAGTGCCCTCCAATTCCAATGGTAACATCGTAAATGTCTACCATGTTTGGGGTGCTTACACTGTGCCTTATAGCAACTCTTAAAGGAAGTTGTACCAGCTCCATTTTTCAGATGAGAAAGCAGACAGTCATGGAGGTTAAGTCATTTCTTTGTGGTCAAACAGCCAGTGCACAGGAAACCCAGTTGTGTTGTCATCAAGGTCTATCTGACAGCAAAGCCTGATCTTAACCACTTGGCTGCGATGCCCCCCCAGTCCAACCAACACCCATGCAAGACAGCTCTAGGACCAGCTCTTTCTAACTCATGACTTCATTTAGCTCCTCCACCTCCAACCTCTCTGCAGACAGAGCAGTCTGGGGTCTGGGGATCTACTCCCCCATTCTGGAGAGCCAAGAGAGGGTGCCTCAACCCCCATGCTCATTCATTAATTAGCCACTGTTTCCTGTGTACCCACTGTGTGCCAGGTGCTGGGCCAAGGACCTCACTGCCTGCAGATCTGCCTTCCAGGGCTTGGGGGCCCCCTGCTCTAAAAAGAGGGGCAGAAATAAAAGCTGGCTGGGGGCTCTTCCCTGTAATGCCCCTCATCCTTCCTCACTACTCTTTCTAGGGAGAGCCAGGCCTGGAGGGTGACAGTGGCCCCATAGGACCAGATGGGCTGAAGGTAAGTGTCCTTTGGGGGCACAGCCTGCCCTCCCCCCTCCCCCTACTACCCTTCCTTCCAAGACTCACATTTCTTCCTGGAACCAATGAATTCACATAAAGTTCTGAGATCAGACCTGTGACTCCCATGGAGAGCAGAGTAGGTGAGGGCCAGCCATGTTCAGTGCCTGCCTCCCACCCTGCCCACCAGGCTGCCCACCTGGGCAGTACTAGGGACCATCACTGCTCACTGCTCTTCTCTTTGGAACTCCAGCTTCTTCTGCCTCAAGGTGGTTCCAGAGCACCACTGCTCTCTCTGCCAGGTCTGAAAGATCAGGATTCATCACCATGGATGACCTATAAGCCACCATCTGTGGAGGGCTAGTCACACACATCCCAGGAACTGTGCTAGGCCTTTTACAGCATCCCTTCAATCAGCACTACAAGGTGTAGAATCTTAAATGAGGAAACCAAGACTCAGAGAGTAACTTGCCCAAGGACACATAGCTGGTAATTCTTGTAGCCAGGACCCAAATGTGGGACTATCTACAGCTCATTCTGCTGTACCCATTCTAAAGGTGAGGAGACTGAGACTTGGAGGGAAGTGGAGATGGTATTCACTCACAGTCCACGGTTAGGAGTGGAGGATCTAAAATTCAAACCCAGGGCCTGCTGGCACTGAAGCCTATGGGCCCAGTTAGCCCTACCACTTCCTGAACATGCATCTGTCAAGCACAGATAGTGGCTAGGACCTTAAAGAGCCCCCAGGCTCACCTGAAGCTCAGGTGGGTGGGCCCTTAACAGCTGTACTCTCAGCCCAAGCCCGTCCCTGGCCTCTATCTCTGGCCCAGCCCTGGCCTAGCCAGGGTGATTTTCCCAAGGCTGGCCTGTCACACTGTGTGAATCAGTTCCCCAGGGTCCCGAAGGCCATGTCCAAGCCTCTCTTACCCATCAACTCTCCTCGTGACCTCAGATAAGCCCCGTTCCCTCTCTGGTCCCTTCTCTTGCCCCTGCCCCTGTTGTGTCCCTGGACACAGCCTGGCCCTGGCTTGGAGTGTTTGGCAGCCCCTGCACACCCTTTGCTCAGTGCCTGCTGCAGTGATACTGATGGATACGTGGCTTGAATGCTGTGTGGACTCACTGTGCACTTAGCACTGTCTTAATCAACATGTGCACGAATCCAAAACCCAAACTCAGTGCCATCTAGTTGATTCTGACTTGTGGTGACCCTATAAATCATAAAACAAAACTCACTGCTGTTGAGTCAGATCTGACTCAGTGACCCCTCCTTGGGTTTCCGAGGTGGTATCGCTACGGAAGTATATTGCTCAACCTTCCTTCCGAGGAGTGGCTGGTGGGTTTGAACCGCCAGCCTTCTGGTTAGCAGTGAAATGCCTTAGGCACTACGCCACCAGAGCTGCCATAGGGTTTTCTAGGCTATAAATCTTTATGGAAGCAGACTGCCTCATCTTTCTCCCATGGAGTGGCAGGTGGGTTCAAACTGCCGACTTTTTGGTTAGCAGCTGAGTGTTTTAACCACTGCACCACCATAGCTCCATAGAATCCTTCCACCAACTCTGTGAGGTAGATATGTTGTTGCTCTTATGTGCTTTTTAGTCAATTCCAACGCATAGTGACCCTATGTAGAGCTGCCCCTTAGGGTTTCCTAGGCTGTAATCTTTACAGTACACATCTTTTCTCCTGTGCAGTGGCTGGTGGATTCAAACTTCTGACCTTTCAGTTGGCACCAAGTGCTTCACCATTGTGCCACTAGGGCTTGGCAGACGAGGGAACTGAGGCACAGTACAGGTCTCTGCACCGCTTCCCCTTGGAGTCTTTGCTGAGGTGGGCGGCTCGCCTCCCCCAGCCTGTATTGCTCCGCTTTCTAAGCCTTCTTATCCCTGCTTCCACTTTTCACTCCTTCTGAAGCCGATTCTACCTTCATCCTTGGACCAGAGTAGTCGCCTGGATGTGTGGCATCTTCCCTGGTCCTCAAATGAACCCTGGGAAGAATCTGTTTTCTTTATAGGGTTTATGTAGAAATCGTCCTTCAAGGTCATAACCACCCTGTGGGTGTGTCCAGCACTTTTATATAATGAATATAATGCTGTTAGGTCCATTATCCTTTCGAGTTTGCTGACAGTCAGCTGCTGGGAGGTGATGATGCTGGACCCCTGCCCTGACACAGGACACATGCTTCCATGCGAGTACATGAAGTCAAGAGAGTGATCCTAGTTAGCAAAGTACGTGATGTCTTACAAGGGCAGGAAAGTTCCTTGACAGAAAACGCTACACAGATTCTTCCATTCAACTCCTGTAGAGTTACCCAAATTTTCAGTATACATTGTGTGTAAGATGGATGGGACAGTTCCAGCCCATTTCAACAGAGAAAACTCTACATAGATTTTCTTATTCAAGTACATAAAGTCAAGAGAGTTATCCTGGTTGTCGAACCATATTGTGTGTAACAAGGATGCAAAAATACCCAGAGTATTTGAAAATAGCTAACCTTTATCCAGCAATCATCACGTGCTAAGTTCCTTATGTGGGTATCTCTTAATCCTCACAGTAATCCTTTGATCTTTGTTTTACAAATGCTTGCCCATGGTCACCTGGCTATTGAGTGCTGGCAGTAAGATTTGAATTTAGTCAACATGACCCCAGAGAGAGTGGGATTGTCCCTTGAGCAGTTGCTCTTGTGTGCCATTGAGTCAGTTCCTCACGGTGACCCCATGTGTGCAGGGTACAACTGCTCTATAGGGTTTCCGAGGCTGTGCCCTTTGTTGTTGTTGTTATGTGCTGTCGAGTCGGACCCAACTCATAGCGACCCCTCCTTGGGTTTCCGAGGCAGTATCACTAGGGAAGTAGATTGTCCCATCTTCCTTCTGAGGAGTGGCTGGTGGGTTTGAACCACCAGCCTTCTGGTTAGCAGTCAAGTGCCTTAGCCACTATGCTACCAGAGCTCCCCAGGCCCTTCTTCCAAGGTGTCTCTGTGTGGGTTTAAACCTCCAACCTTTCGGCTCGTGGCTGAACACTAAACTGTTTGTAGCACCCAGGGACTAGGAAGTACTGGGAGCCCTGGGTTCTCAACCTCACTCTGCCAGTGACTTCCTGTGTGGTGTTGGGAGTCTCCAACTCCGTCTGTTCCTCAGTGCCCCCATCCGTAAACTGAGGGGTTTGAGCTAGGGAGTTTGTAAGGCTTTTCTGAGTGTTGACAGATGTCCTAGGATTCTGGGATTTTCCAAGACCCCCCAGAGACCACCGTGCACAAGGCCCACAAGGACATGCACACCAGCGGTGTGAGACCCAGGCTGGGGCAGGGGGCCTAGGCAGTTCCTGGAGCCAGGTCCCATGCAGAGCCCACCCAGGAATCCAGGTAAGGGATCCTTGCAGAAAACTACCCCAGCACCAAGCAGGCTGCCTGCCTCTGAGAGCTGGAAGAGCAGGTGGTGAGGTTGACAAGCCAGAAGTGAGCTCCTGGAGCCAGACAGGCTGTTAGAGAGTCATGTGCACCAGCTCCTTGTCTCTGTGCCAGTCTGTGCTTGGACTCTGAGCATCTCAGACGGAAGGGACTTCAGAAAGCAGCCTTCCTAGGTCTTTCCTGATGCCCAGATCTGCGCTACCCTGGCCCCGACCTCAGCTCAGGGTCTCCCTCCCTCACCTGTGTCATCATTTCTGGATTCATCCATGGAAAATGCTCTTTGAAGGGAAACTTTCTAGGTAGGCTGAAAAAATACATTGTTGTTATGTGCCGTCGAGTTGGACCCAACTCATAGTGAGTGTCCGAGGCAGTATCACCATAGTAGTACATTGCCCAATCTTCCTTCCGAGGAGTGGCTTGTGGGTTTGAACCACTGACCTTTTGGTTAGCAGTCAAATGCCTTAAGCAGTATGCCACCAGAGCTCCTTTGGTTTATATGTGTGTGTGTGTGTGTGTGTGTGTCTATATATATCTGTAGGAGCTCTGGTAGTGTAGTGCCTAAGGCACTTGACTGCTAACCAGAAGGCTGATGGTTCAAACCCATCAGCCACTCCTCATAAGGAAGGTTGAGCAATCTACTTCCATAGTGATACTGCCTCGGATTCAAGGAGGGGT